GCCCACAAAGGGCAGGAAGTGATTCCTTATATAGAGTGCCTGCAGTTACCACTATAACCCCCCCACCCCCCCACTCAGAATGTCTTTGATCATGCAGCTTGAAACAAGATCCACAATTGTAAGCACAAAAATGACAACATTTAACAACTCGCTCTAACAGTCGGTACAGACCCATCTGCTGTCTGAGAAACCTCACACTCCTCTGATCACCAACTAATACATTACCAGGAATCAAACAACAACTGAAGTGGTTATTAAAGATAAAATTACAAGTTACTAAATGAAAAAAGTCTTCTGTGGTTTGGAAAAAACAACAGCAACTATAATATTTTGTTATAAGGAATCACACACGGAAATGAAACATGCCATATTACGACATAAATCAATAAAGTAACAGAGATAACTGTTACAGTGAAGTCGATACAGCAGCTTTTTTATGATTTGATCAAAAATGAGGGAAATTTCCAGATATTTCTACGGTTTAAACTTAACTGTAAATGAAATAATACTTCCACCCCCATGGTTAACAATAAAATACTTTCCAACTTCAGATAGCAGCTCAACACTTGAGCTTTCAGAGTCACCGACCCAAGTCAAAGAATTGAAACCTGTTGTCTCAAAGCATGTTGAACAACGTGAACATGAACACAGAACTATACTCAGTATAGCAGCACAGTTTGGGTATGTTATTGAAACCCTTTATTACATTTATTTTAAATCATGGAAAAGAAAGATGTAATAAAGGAATAACAGCTCTGCTACTTCGTTCAGCTGCTAGCTTCGGGGGTCTGCACAGCAGATAACATGCGACCACCTCCTCCTGTCCCAGCATCCTGCTCTGTCAGACCAACCCTCTGCATCTCCTCCATCACTACATCTGTGAATCTTCGCTAAGCTGTTCTTCTTATCTCCACTCTGAGCTGTCTGATGGACTCTTTTCTGATCCTGACTGTCCCGGTGAACATCTGAACTTCTGCAGCTCTGCATAGGGACTCTTTACTTAGTCCCTATGGACCCCAAAGCGCTAACTAAGCTACAAATGTGCAAACACACACAAACATAAGCATTTTATTTGTATCAGTGGAACATTTTAAATATGTTGTTAAACTGTCATGTGTTAGGCAGTAGGAACTTCTGTTTCAATAGAGGCAGCTGGAAAACGCAGCTGAATTTAAATGGAAAAGAAAACCAAATATAAAGCACTCAAAGCCTCAGTTGCCTTTGCTGCCAACCACAGTGGAGACAGAAGCCTTCCAGAGCCTTGGCAGATATCCAGCATTAGGGACGGAGACCTTTGAAGAGAACATACTGATAAAAGACTGCAGCAAAGGATAGTCTGAATGGTGGCTAAACAGCCTCAACGAACTTCCTAACAAATTCAAGCTGTTCTGCAGACTCAGGGTGCAACAGTGTGAGCTCGAACTATCCATCGACATCTGAACGAGGTGAAACGC